GGTGAAGAGAGGCACTGTGAGAGTAAAGTTCCTTTCACAAGAACATAACACTATGACCCCGGAAAGGGCTTAGACCTGGACCGCTCAGAGTCAAGTACACTGACCATGAGGCCACCACGCCCTCTGTGCCTGACATAATGTCATTGAAATGTATGTCCAAGAGAAACAGAGTCACAAATTAAAATGAATGTCACTCCATTTTATGGTACAAGTTTATGTACTGATCCAAAGTTTAGGATCATTTATAGTCCATATCTTGTTCTACAATTCAAGTTTTGCAGCACAATCACTCAGAAATGCTCTTCATAATTATATCAAAAATTTGCAGAACAGATTTTAATCCTCGAATTCCCAATAACACTTGTCAACGAGTCGTTCTTCATAACGCAAGCAAAAAGCCACATGTACTTAGCTTGTTGTAAGTCTTATTCGTTCATTAACTGCTAGTTTTGAGTACATTTGGTGGCGAGTCAAATTCTCAGAACCGGCATTAAAGGGAGTTTATGTGACTAGTAAGGAGAATTAATATTTCGAGCTTAAGAAAGACAGGGTTTAATGGTCGCATACATAAAGAACTGTTTTAAAACGTATCCTCGCCATGTAGACAAAATTATTCCGCATGAAAATTGTGACAAGCACTTACCATGGGATGGTTTTGCGCCGTCCGTAAAAGCGAAAGAGGTAGCTAAAATAAATTAAAGCAAAGAGTTTGAGTGGAAACACAGTCAGAAAATAGGTCATAACACAACTATCAGAAATTCTAACCAAAACTTACCACCATGTTGAATTTTGTCGCAAAATGTACGTCGAAAGCGAGGTTGCACAGTCATACTTGGTAACCGAGCTTGATGGTTTTCTTGGAACGCCTGTCACAAACTGCAGTTCTCTGCGCTCGTTCATAATGTCATCAAAGAAAAGAAAAGATAAGTCGTTGGGCTCATCATCTAAAAGTTTCAAACAGCAAAAGAATGATTCCAATATTGATCTGTTAAATCGGTATTTCTTAGAAGAAGAATTTAAAGCGAAATTTGCCAAAGCTTTTAGGTTCGTACATAGTACGTAGTAGAAATTAAGAGATTTAAACAAATTTAAGCTTAAAGCAGATTTAAAAAAAAAAAAAAAAATTAAGCTTAGTCTTACATATAAGTCTTACATAACAGCAGAATTATAATATCAGTATACCTTTGTTTTTCTTCCTGCAGGAATCAAGAGGGTTTTAATGGTATGTAAAGGGTGCAGATGTTTATAACTTTGTTATTCCTATGTCAACCCGTGCTCTAATTTATAAATGAATGTGGAACAGCTAACGTAATGTTCAGTTATTCTGCAAAACTGAGTTTCTACAAATCTTACAACTTCCCTCTTGTTGTCCCAGGCTTTACTCAAAGTAAAATGCCCATATTATCAAGTTATGGCAGTGCCCAACAAAAAGAGAAACAAAACCAATTGGAACAAGAAATATACCCTCTCTACTCCCCTCTGTTCTAGGCTTCACTTGTAGTTGAAATTCACGTGCCATTCAGGAAGGAATCGTGTTATACTACATGTAGTTAGAATATTAGTATGAGCACTGTATCTCAAATTATAGCCCCATTTTAAGTAATTTTATAGATCTAGTTGTCCACAGAAAAAGTTTGTAAGGTATGTGTGGCACACTTGAAACTTACTTCAGTTTATTGCACATGTACATGTAGTCTAATGCATCAGTCAATTCCAGCAGTGCCCATTCCCCCGCCCCCCCCCCCCCNTCAATTCCGGCAGTGCCCATCTCCCCCGGGCAACCGCGGGGCATTTGCTCACGTTGTCAGTCCCAGGGGTGGGGCATTCGAAATTTTATCGCGGTCCGGGGGCTGGGCATTTGCGTACCCCAGGGCGACCCTTGGACATTTGACGCACATGTTTTTGAAAGGGCCATGGATGAGTTCATCGGGAAAGACGAGGCGTTTGTCGAACAATGGCTTGTCCATCATGGACTAGAGAAACTTGTAGATGTTTTTAAAGGTATGCTTTCTCAATTTTAGATATTTCTTAATTACTTATAAGCATATAAATATAAGCGACAAGGTGAACTATATTTTGTTTATCACAAAACAATCACTGANTCATCGGGAAAGACGAGGCGTTTGTCAAACAATGGCTTGTCCGTCATGGACTAGAGAAACTTGTAGATGTTTTTAAAGGTATGTTTTCTCAATTTTAGATATTTCTTAATTACTTGTAAGTATATAAATATAAGCGACAAGGTGAACTATAATTTTATTTTGTTTATCACAAAACAATCACTGACATGAACACGACTATTTCGCATTTCGCATTCAAAACTAGTCTAGCATTTTTTAAATTCATGAAAGTGGTTTGCGAATTCAAATGATGCGATCTTCAAGACAGATCTTGAAAACTGTTAATAAAAAACATAATATAAATAAATAAATATAATCAAAATCAACTAACACCTACCGTTGTCCATGAAGTCTTACCGTTGCATTAAAAGACTGAACAGTTGAACGTTTTATTCACTGCTTAATAAATAAGACTGCAGAGGTGTTGGAAGGCGATGATCCCGGGGGCTGGGGATTTGCCCTCTTTTTTCGTCCCCACCCCGGGCATTTAGACAGCTTATGTGTCCTCACCCCAGGGAATTTGCCCATTTTTTTAAAAAAATGCTAATGCCCGGGGGTTAGCCCGGGGGGATATGCACTGCTGGAATTGACTGATGCATAACATACATGAAATTTTAAATGCTATTTCATACCTGACCCAAACTATGATACCTTAGCTTACTTTAGATCAGACAGCCAGACATTCTTTTAATTAATAAGTAAGCATTTCCTTTTCAATGTTGTCTTGCTCAGAGAATGGATGCATCCTGCACACAGAACCATTCAAGTGCTGTTTTCTTCCTAACTTTATCTCAGACGAGGAGTTTTTAAAGAGTTTAGAGAAAGATCTCCTTCAGCTCAAGTTTTATGAGAAGTCAAATGACTTGTACAAATTCCATCAGGTAATATTAAATGTCACATGGAAACCCTTCAAGTATGCATTTCTTAAATTGCTCAGATATATTAGTGATTTTTTT